CACCTATTGACATCTAAAAGAAACATACATATAACAAAAGAAATTGGTTGTCCTTAGCATTTTGGGCCGGGCGTGGCCCGTTGGTTAGTGTGCTGATTTGTGAATCCGAGTGTTCGTGGTTTGCGTTCTCGTTGATGTTGCCGTAAAAACGCGCTCCGCACTTTGGGACATTACAGGAGTGACGGCCAAATCGAGCTATTCGATCAGAGTAGCCCAAGAATTAGCGGCCTGGCATGGCCAGGTTGTTAATGGGATTGACTCGTAATCTGCTCGCCCTTTCAGTTGTGGGGACGTTATAATGGTTCGGTCAATTCCACTATTCGTTGGTAAAAGAGTAGCCCAAGAGTTAGCGGTGGGTAGTGATGACTAGTGTTTCACTGCTAAATTACGGAGGGCTAGCGCAGATAGCTCTCGTGTAGCTTTGCATGAAATTCAAAACAAACAAACAAAGCTAGCTTAGGAATTTGGTTATTGGATTGACATTAGAGTTGTCAGAAAAGCAAAATCACATTTTCTGATGTTCTCAAACAATTATAAGTGCGGTGTTTTATTCAAGTTTAAATGTTTTATGTCATGATTCTAACTTAGATTTAATTGTTTGTTGTTCAGCACAAAGTATCGCGAGTATCGAAACCCGACTTTTAGCGTTATAAGCCTTCAGATTTATCCCTGAGCCACCGTGGGGGGTGCATCAAAAGTTAATGGATTTATAAAAATAAGGCTCTTGATAACCAGAGCGTTGTTCCAAAGCTCAAGGTAGCGATATGTTGGTAAACGCGCTCTACACTTTCACCTGTGAAAGTCTCAGTGCCGCTGTACGGTTTAGGGTAGTCACGTATGCGGCGGGTGCTGCTGACCTGTTGCCAATTCTCTGATAATTCTGACCTGTCCATTTAGCCCACATGTCCATCACTGTCGCATAAGGTCCCATTAATCAAAGGGTGAATTGGGTCAAAGCAATATCTAATTTCCGAAAGAGATCGGGTTGTTTATAGGTCACCTTACCTTGAGTGTGTTAGAAGTGCGCGTTTTCTCCGTGTTGTATGTAATAGCATATAATGACTGTGGAAATTGAGATCTAGGACTTATTGCGCACGTGTTTTCTTACGGTAAAAACCAATCTTGTTTCGTATAAGTTTTATACATACCCGTACCTGCTTATTTTTTTCATTTAATTAGGAAGTTTTAATTTTTTTTCGATTTGGCTTTATAAAAATGGTTACAAACAAAAGTATATTAGTGGAAACTACTTAAAAGAAGGCTTAAGTGAAGTACTGATATTTTTTTAACGCATCTTTGAAGCACGTTCGACAATGACGTTTTAATGCGTGAGTGCAAGACTTCACGTGCTAAAAGACCAATTCTTGTCCTCAAACAATCTTCAAAACATCAAAAAGTCCGTTACAGTCGTCAGGTGAGTGTTTACTGGACATGTTGTCTTGATTTTTACTTCGTAAAATATCTCCAGCGATTAGTTAAGATGGATTTTCTTTTATTTCTTGACACAGCCACACAACCTTGATGTTTTATTTGGTTATTTTTGTTTGATACACTGAGAAAGTGGATACGCCATTTTATTCGAATAAACGCAGCTTTACAACACCTTGTACCTACTTAGTTGTTCTGTGTGGTGGCTTACACTTTCCACTGCACGTGAGGAATTAGCTTATGAAAAACAGCATAATTTTCGCTTAATGACAACAAGCCCCCCCCCCTTTAGTGACTCAGCTGTAAGTCTCTGGACATAACGACGCTAAAGATCGGGTTTCGATACCAGTAGTGGAGGACACAATACAAATAACCCATTGTTTAGCTTTGCGCTTAACAACAACAACAAAGAAATATGAATGATAACAAAACTTTATGTGAGAACTAGTTACATACAGAGACGTAGTTGCTATCTTAACAGTGAGGTCCGGCAATCTGAGGGTCGCAGGTTCGAATCCCCGTCCCACCAAACATGCTCGCCCTTTCAGCCGTGGGGGCGTTATAATGTGACGGTCAATCCCACTATTCGTTGGTAAAAGAGTAGCCCAAGAGTTGGCGGTGGGTGGTGATGACTAGCTGCCTTCCCTCTAGTCTTACTCTGCTAAATTAGGGACGGCTAACGCTGATAGCCCTCGTGTAGCTTTGCGCGAAATTCAAAACAAACCAAACTTAACAGTGACCATTGAGTTAAAAACTGAAACATCGCAGTTATACACAAATCCCCATTCCCCTTTCAAAGGGGCACTTCGCTACCGGGTCAAAATCGGGGGTAGGTGCCCCCAGGATTCGCCGCTTATTTTTTGTTATGTGTATTCCCATCATTCTGGGGAAAAAAATATTTATAGAAATAGAACATATAAAGTGTGGGGGGGGGGGTAGTGATCGGTGGAATTACCATCAACAACCTAGGATATGCAGATGACACAATACTACTGACTCTAAGTGTATCAGATCTACAAGAGTAAAAGAAAAGGGAATGAAGATGATTACTAAAAAAAAGCCGAAATCAATGGTAGTAACTAGAATCAATCTAACTAGAGAGAGAGAACGTCAACTGAACAATTTTATATACCTAGGATACGTGACCACCGAAGATGGTGATAGCCAAGTATAAATTCAGAGAAGAGAAGAAATAGTTAGGAGAACATTTAACAATATGTCAAAAAATATTAACGTGACAACATGGACGATACCAGTCAAATGCTACGTTTAGTAAACTCTACTATATGGTGCTGAACTGTGGACAATATCCAAAACGATTGGTTAAAAGATTGAGCCATTTGAACTGTGGATCTGTAGGAGAATACTGAAAATATCATGGATAGAACATAAGACAAATGTGGATCTATAGGAGAGTACTGAAAATATCTTGGATAGAACATAAGACAAATGTGGATCTATAGGAGAGTATTGAACATATCTTGGACAGAACATAAGACAAATGTGGCTTATGTTCTATACAAGATATTTTCAGTACTCTCCTATAGATACAAATGTGGATCTATAGGAGAGTACTGAAAATATCATGGATAGAACATAAGACAAATGTGGATCTATAGGAGAGTACTGAAAATATCTTGTATAGAACATAAGACAAGTGAATAAGTATTAGAAATGATGAAAACTAAACGCATAATATTATCAAGAAAAGAAAATGCGGGTATTTTGGACATATAATTAGAAGAAATGGAATACAAAGACTGTTGCTAGAAGGGGAAGAGGCAGACCAAGAAATATGTAGATGGATAACATAAAAGATTGGTTAGGAACATCATACAGTAAATGTGTTAGAATGGAGGAAAGAAGAGAACAATGGAGCTTCATGACTTCGAGTAGATGACACATGATGATACCATTTAGAATTAAAATAGCTGACCGAGTTAACGTTCTCGAAAAATCAAAAACCGTCCAGGACCCATTGCCGTTAAAACGCGCTCCGCACTTTGTGACCGTAGATACGCTATAAAAATGACGATCAAAGCTGACTGTTCGTTCTTAAAAGTTCAAGAGTTGGCAGTTGGTGCCCTGGATAATTTGACTTTTACGACAATAAGTGCTGTTGACTAGCTAGCTGCCTTTCCTCTAGTCTTTCAGTTCAAAAAATAAAAAAAACCTACGGCAATGCATAAATAGCTCTCGTGAAACTTTGCTCAAAATTGTGGAACAAACGAAATTAGTGTTGTGAATTAAAAGTGTTTGTATTTATTGCAAGCTGCTAAGGAATAGCAGCCAGTCAGCACTGCCTTGCCACCCACAGCTTAAAGAACGGGGAATAATTTGTGGTATCGCACGGATTCAAACCCGGATCGTCATCTCTGAAATCCAGAGATCTATACCACACAGCGATAAAGTGGTTTTAAAAACTAAAATAAACAACAACCCTAAGGATCGCACACTTTCGAAGTATAGTATCTTCTTTCTGAGGAGATAAAGGGAGTTTTTTAGTAAAAAACAAACTTTTGATATTCATATAGGAGGTGCTAGAGGTTATGTACGTTAAATATGAAAACTGTAAGATGAAAAGAAGGATTTGTAATGTTAGAGTGAAAATCACCTTGCATTCAGTTTGACCCATTAAAGGTTACGAAAATTCACAGACAAATCTTTAGTATAAATAATTTATTAAAATTCAGATTTGTGTGTGTGTGTGTCTGTCTGTTACCAAATTTCATTAAGATACACTTAATAAATGTTGGGTTCACAGTATGTATAACTTCATGGTTTTACAAGGTTGATCAAATAAACCGACCATTTGACAAAGGGTTGATCGAGCAGCTATCATCCAATATCCAATGGATGTATCCCACAATGATACTTTGATAGCTTGAAAAGATCAGGACATTCAATGATCAGATAGGGTTTCACCATTTGGAAAGGCAGTCTGTCTGTGTTGTAGGCCTGGGTAATAAGATGTGATTAAATCAAATTCATGGAACACTATTATTTAACTTGCTATCATTCCATCTGGGTTTTTAAAGTTCACCAATAACTTCAGGACACATAATCCATTTCAGAAGTGAACTTTATACCATTCAATTATTGCTAAAATCGTTTTATGAAGATAAAAACTGCAAGCAGTTCCTTTTTTTTTTGATGTACGGATTCTTCATTTGGGAGCCATCACTAGCATACACAAGTATATGTTCTACTCCATCCTGCAATAGCAATAACACTGTTTTGATTCCGCTATCTCTGGTATAGCCATCTAGCAGAAATTCACAATCCTGTCATGAATATGTCAAAACCAGGGCTTCTACTAAAGCACACTTCAGGGACCGGAATTCTTGCTCACATTTCTCTGTGTCAGTAAGAGTTGATTATGGTGAGGAGATCTTTGTGAAGTTGGTCACAAATCTTAAGGAATAAGACGAGACATAAAGGAAACTGTGGACTTGTTAGGTCAAAGGTTGAGGCCAATTTTTCACCACTTCTATTTTAGCAGAATCCGTAGAGATATCTTCTTTAACCTCATTATTACTTAGAAATTTCATATGAACATATTTTGCTATTTTCAGTTTCAAGCCTGACTTTTTTTATCCACTGGAATACATTTTTCTGGCTCTCAGCGACAGACTCAGACGTGCCACCAAATACCAAGATGTTGTCAACATAAATCTGACACTTCTTCTTTTGCAGCCCCTTCAGTGTAAGCTCCATTAGTCTCTCGAAAGTGGTGGGCACATTACGCAGGCTGAAAGACATGACGTGAACCATGTACAAGTAATTTCTTATGCTAAAACGCAGTCTTATATCTCTTTTTGTCATCCTGATTGACTTGCCAATATATGGATGACAGGTCTAACATGTTATACCAACAGGCCCCACCATTGGTAAAAGCCATTTGTCCAGGAGAGTACTTTTACTAGACTCAGTAACTCAGACAACCATCTTCCCCTAGTGTGAAAAATGCCATTTCCTTAACTATATGAAACCTTTTGAAACTTAGTCACACAAGAGTAGGAGTAAAGAGCAGTAAGCACCTCAGTAGATATACTAGACTCCACAATATGGTATCTCGTAGTCACGGCATCAACATTTTATCCTTCCTATGCACACTGTGGTATGTGCAGTTAAGAATGAGTTAACATTTGAGCTATCAACTAGGTCTGTTTAATAACCAGAGATTTAATCAAATTAAATAATGTTAAATCGTGATGGTAAGTGGAACAATGAGACTAGACATGATGTGAAATGGAAGGTGAACAATCTCTATTATTATGCTTAACGCAAACACGGTGTGTGCACTTGCTTTTAATTTCACGAAACTGCCACTTTTATTGGATTCTCTCAACTGTTTCTCCTTCAGGATTCTGTTCCAGACTGTCTGAATTCAACGTTCCTCAGTTCACAAGAAATTTGGCATTTCCCCAAAGCAACTAGCGCTACTCGTCTAACTGGTCATTCTCTCTATAACAATGCTGAGATCGTAACTTCTAGATACCACATGAACGACCATTGGAGAACACTACTGTTGATATCCATGCACAACGTGCGGTATTGCAGTAATATCCTCCTTTCCTCTAGGGCAGAACAAGTATTATCCATTCAAGAATAACAAAGGAGCAAAGGCAGCTAGAACGAAATAAACTTAACATCTTTCTGGATCACATGTTATGTGAAACCTGCACATATACAGAAGAAAGAATAGACTTAGAATAAATACTATAGTACTGAAAGACGGTAGAAACGCAAAGCACAATCGTATATCACAATTATATCAAGTTCGAATGGTAATTTTAAAAATATAGCAAATAATTCCACGTGTAATCGGTGCCAATCCATTAATCTCAAAAGTAAAACGTATTAAATAAGAAAGGTGAACACACACACACATAGGTATTCCCCTTTCTTTCTTTACAGTTGATATATTTACACGTCAGATAATATATGCGTGATTTAACATAATTTGTCATTTACGTATAATTATTGGCATTTAAATGTTTTTTCTGTAATCTAATCGGCTAGATAATAATAATAATCACTGATGTCCTTTTAAGTACACATCTCCCTTAGAGCTGATTTACCCACATTCCATGCCTTTAAAGGTATCGTTTTTACTTTTAGTATTCTTTTAGAAGGTACGAAATAAATAAACGAGGGGGTTCCCGCAGGTCAAGTATATCGTAGACGAACCTGCCTGCGAGCCTCGTTTCGGACGTTACTGACCTTGAATCTGTAACTTGACTTATCTGTCTCCACGAGCAAGCTAGACGTCTTCCTCCGAGGTGTATTACACTTTTTTCTTTCTTTTTTTTGACTCCCAGAATCAAATTAGGACACAGTTATTTAGTAGAAAAAGGGGGTAGATTCGCCAACATTCTTGTTCGCAATCGCTGTCCCACCTCTCGAACTGTACTCCAAGCAGCTGTTGTTGTTTTTAAACGTGCATGGCCTCCGCACTTTGTGCCCCGCAGACAGTCGGTGTTACGTACGAGTTCGAGGGTATGTACCCACCTGTATTCCTTGATTTCCTCCCTCTAAGCCGTTGTCATCTGACGTGAACAAGTAGTTTGTTAGTTGGCCGGCCAGTCTCTCGTGTTTTGCAGGTCTGACACTAGTTTGTGTGTAAGGTTTAACGCCATATTTGTGGATGTGACGTACAGCTTCCAATTGTTAAAGTTTGTGGAAGAAATATAAAACGGATTTTCTTCACGAAACTTCACGTGGTAAGTTAAAAGTTTCCTTCATTACTCGCCTGTGTATTTCTGAGATTTCAGGACTGTAGTATTAGTAATATAAATTATTTTTGTGTATACCATATTTGTAACATATTTCCACCGATGTCACGATAACTGATAGCGAGTTTTTCAACTGAGTGTTTCCGGTTAAACAGTGTTAAACATCAACACATTATAGATTTATATAATTAATAATTTTATCTTTAAATAAATTAGTTCAGTAGTTACTTCCAGAGTTTTGAAACGTCTCGGCATCTGAAACAGTAGACTGGTGCTTCTTTAACCTCGTAATCTTAGTACGACAGTTCGACGAATGTATATATTTTTTTTGATTTTATTAATTAAAATAGTGCTTCTTCATTGTCGCCCCCTACCCTATTCAACGTCAAAAATAGATTCGAAATTATGTTATGATCATTTTAAATGATTGCGTTTTAAAACAAGTTATGGTTTTCTGATAAAACCAGCGTATTAGTTTTCCATAATTCTCATGACGTCATGGCCTCATGTTAACGTTTCGAAGAACCTTAGCTAAATACACCAACGTTGAATCTAGTGGATAAGTCCTTACTTATTAATGATATAACTATAATGTTCAAAATGTTGCCTTCTAGCGGACTGAAATATGTTTAGACACTTTATTTATGCACAAGCTAAAAATGAAAATTACAAACAAAATTTACTTGAAGCCCTGTTTAAATGAGCTAAAACCTGTAAAACCGAAACGGTCATTTTAAATTGCCACGTATTGATAAACCTGTAAAACCGAAACGATCATTTTAAATTGACACACATTGATAAACCTGTAAAACCGAAACGACCAGTTTAAATTGACACACATTGATAAACCTGCAAAGCGTACAGCGATAACGCTGTAAAACCGAAACGATTATTTGTATGTCATTTGGCGTACAACGATAACGCTGTAAAACCGAAACGTTTATTCACGTAATTAGCAAACGATGATAACCTCTAAAACCGAAACGTTTGTTTACATGTAAGTTAGGTGATATAATGAAGGTGTAAAATGAAATGTTTACTTACGTGTAACTTAGCAGATATTGTTATAGCTAGATAACCGAACCGTTAGGAGATATTGATACACCAGTAAAACCGAAACGATAATTTGTGTGAAATGTTAAGCTTTTTTCTCTCTTTAGATCACCTGATTCCGCCACCAATTGGCCTAGCATGGCTAGGTAGTTAGGGCGCTCGACTTGCAATTTGCGGGTTCGAGTCCCCGTCCCACCAAACATGCTCGCCCTTTCAGTTTCAGCCGTGGGGGTGTTATAATGTGCGGTCAATCTCAGTATTCGTTGGTAAAAGAGTTGGTGGTGAATGATGATGACTAGTCTTTCACTGCTAAGTTAGGCACGGATAGTGTAGGACAGCCCTCGTGCAACTTTGCGCGAAATTCAGAACAAACAAAGAAACCTGAAATCAAACCTTATTATGAAATCTGTATGTTTGGACTGCATAAGGATCCTATAGTATTGATAAAATCGATAAATTGAACGCGGCGTGTATTTATGTTTGAGCCACTTTGCTCTCTTTGTCTGACTGTAGATTAAAACACCACGTAAAGTTTAAACCATGGTTATACTCTCACACCCCTATGTACCCCAGTTTGGGAATGCCTGGTCTAGATGATCTCAGCTTTAAACACGCTACAGATAAAGAATTAACAATCATTATGTCAATCGTATAACATTTGACAGGTTCCATGTGGCGCCGATTTGTCAACAATTTTATCCTTGGGGGTAAATATGAAATCAGTATTACACGTCCAAATTAAACATATCACCTTCAACACAGTTATAATGAACTCCTTTCCATACATAAAAGGTAAGGTAACTTAAACGTAAATTAACATCGCAAACTGACTATCAGTGTTGAATCCAGTCCTTTCCACCGGGGGTGGGTGGGAGTGAAGCTGAGGGGGAATAAATTCAAATTTATCAGTGTTCAATCCAGACCGTTCCACGGGGGGTGAAGCTAGGTGGAATGAATTCAAATTTATCAGTGTTGAATCCAGACCGTTCCACGGGGGTGGGTGGGGTGAAGCTAGGTGGAATGAATTCAAATTTATCAGTGTTGAATCCAGACCTTTCCATCGGTGTGTGTGTGTGTGTGTGTGAAGCGGAAGGAATGAATTCAAATATGAAAAAATGGAAAATACTGTACTTCAGGAGGAATTCCCTCTGTACACCCCCTGAAATCAACACTGATGACTATAATCTATTTAAAAAGCAACAAAATTCACCCCTCTTTCTCTTCATCGAAACGATCATAGTCAAGTTAACGGAGTTATCCACTTATCCCAAAGTTGCGGCTAAGGTTTTAATTAAAAACAAAACAGAATGAATAACTTATTTAAGTAGACTTAAACGTAAAAATAGATCTCTAGCTATGACGTACTCCCCTCACGTGATTAAAAAAAAAAAGAAACGAACGCTCTGTCACAGGAGATGATGGGATCGCTGCGTTAATACAACAATCATCCCAATGACACGTACTCCCTTGACGGTGGCTTTTGCTTTGGTGGGCCCTCTGCCCCTCTCCGCAACTAGTTAATATTATGCGCTGTTTTCCCAGTTCGATCCAAAAATAGGTGGCGTGATATTAAGGGAGCATTAGGTAATTATTTCGATACAGTTGTATAAATTTTGCGACGAAAAAGTCCTAATTATGCTCTTTCCGTATGGTTGCGAAACAAAGTAAATATGGACGAAGAAAACGGTTTTTGTCATTTTAACTTCTAAGTTAACAGAGCGTGAACAGATCTAAAGTGCTTCAATAGCAAACTGTACGTTTTAAGTAAATTCGTTTCAATCGGCACCGGTTGCTGTTAAGTCCAGAAAAAGAAAAAAGCGTGGATTAAGTTAGCTTTTTTTTTTTCTCTCTTCCATAATTGACTTTATCACTTTTGGGAAATATTTAAAAGTCCCACACGTCATTCTACCTTCGTGTTTGTGTACTGGTATTTCTGGTTTAGCTTGCCAACCGGAGTTATTGATTTGATTAATTTAATTGGTTCTGTGTTGACGTTTCGTTCTTTTCGGTGATCAAATACGAAATGTTGAAGTGGGATTTTTCTGTGTTCTAATACAAGTCGTTTCTTTTTTTCAATTTTATTCTAGTGTTTCAGGAACTTATAAACGCTATAATTTGTGGCTCTATACTCGTGGCGAGCACGGTAAAGATAGCCCATTAAGTATCTTTACGTTTAAATATAATGAACATTTACAGTCATTCATCAAACAGTTATTTATGTCATTATGGTTATATCAGACAGTTGTTTATGCCATTATGGTTATATCAGACAGTTGTTTATGCCATTATGGTTATATCAGACAGTTGTTTATGCCATTATGGTTGTATCAGACAGTTGTTTATGTCATTATGGTTGTATCAAACAGTTGTTTATGTCATTATGGTTATATCAGACAGTTGTTTATGTCATTATGGTTATATCAGACAGTTGTTTATGCCATTATGGTTATATCAGACAGTTGTTTATGCCATTATGCTTATATCAGATAGTTGTTTATGTCATTATGGTTATATCAAACAGTTATTTATGTCATTATGGTTATATCAAACAGTTGTTTATGCCATTATGGTTATATCAG